CGCTACCACACCCAGCTGATTTTTTGATTTATTGTAGAGATGAGGTCTCGCTGCCAAGGCAGGTCTCGAATCCGCGGGGTCAGGCAATCCACTCACCTCAGCTTCCCAGAGGCGCGGGATTACAGGCTGAGCCACCGAGCCTGGCTAGGAATTAGGATTATTTTAATTTTTTAATTTTTTAATTTTTTGAGTTGGAGTCTCACTCTGTCCCCCAGACTGGAGTGCAGTGGCTGCTCCCGGCCACCGCAGCCTCGACCTGCTGGGCTCCGGCAATCCTTCCACCTTAGTCTTCCAAGTAGTCGGAATTACAGCCATGCGCTACCACGCCTGGCTGATTTTTTTTGATTTATTGTAGAGACGAGGTCTCGCTGCCCAGGCAGGTCTCGAACCCGCGGGCTCAGGCAATCCACTCACCTCAGCCTCCCAAAGGCGCGGGATTACAGGCTGAGCCACCGAGCCCGGCTGAATTAGGATTATTTTAAAACCTCCCCCCCCCCCTTTTTTTTAGGAAGATCTCAGTGAACATGTTGTTCAGGGTGATGCCCTTCCTGGACATGTGGGCACAGCATGCCTCTTATCATCCACCATTGCTGAGAGTGGGAAGAGTGCTGGAATTCTTACTCTTCCCATCATGAGCAGAAATTCCAGGAAAACAATAGGCAAAGTGAGAGGTAAGTCTGGAGATGCAAAAGGGGCACCTTGTAAGTAAGCTAAGCTTAAGGTAGAATTTTCATTAGTTTCACATTAAGTATTTGAAAATGGTAAAGATTAAATTAATAATTTGTTTTAGACTATTAGCTAATACAGTGACAGTTTAAGAATCATGTCTGTTAGATTTTCTAGAAGCTTTACTTTTCATCAATTTTGACTTCATTTCTATTTGATTGATATACCTGGTTTAAGTGCTATTTAAATGTAATTGAGCTCATAATGGCCTTTTAAATCATCTTTATCTTTGTCTCTTCTTTTTTTTCTATGAAAGTTGACTATATAATTATTAAGCCATTACCAGGATACAACTGTGACATGAAATCTTCATTTTCCAAGTATTGGAAACCAAGAACACCATTGGATGTTGGACATCGAGGTGCAGGGAACTCTACTACAACTGCCCGGTAGGTTAAATATTTGAGTATGATTAGCATTTGATAGCTCATATTTGATAAGATTTCATTGGTTTGATGCACTGAAGGTCACATGATGTTTTTATTATCCTGGGAATTCAATATAATTTGGGAATTGGAGTTACTATTTCAAAATAAAGACCACCTCTAAGTTTCTGGTCAGTCTTTATATATTGAATTGATAACAAAAAGACATTAAAAGTAGAAAGACGGGAGGGAAAGCTTGATGCAGAAAGCTTTTTTGGCGTCAGTTTATTATCTGTGTTAGGTTCTTACTTTTGGCACATTGCCTGCCTTCTGGGTCTTTGTTTCCTCATCTGTAAAATGGATAAGATTAACCCTAGTGTTCCTTTTAGTTCCAAGTATCCATGTGTCTAGGAAAGTGTAAATAATCTCAAGGAGATTATTTACACTTATTTACACTTGAGTCGTAGTCTCACTCTGTTACCCAGACTGGAGTGCGGTGGCACACTCAAGACTACCACAGCCTCGACTTTCTGGGCTCTGGCAATCCTCCCACCTCAGCCTTCCAAATTGCTGGAATTATAGGCATGCACCACCACGCCCAGCTAATTTTTTGATTTATTGTAGAGACAAGGTCGTGCCATGTTGCCCAGACTGGTCTCGAACCCGTGAGCTCAGGCAATCCTCTCACCTCTGCCTCCTAAAGTGCTGGGATTGTAGGTGAGCCACCATGCTCAGCATCCCTTTTCAATAGACACAGACTGCAGCCTGGCACAGTTATCTTTCCCTTCTAGTTTTTTTTTTTTTTAGTTTATTTTATTACCAGTGCTGTAGCTCATTGCCACAGATTTTTCTACTGTAAATTTTTATCCCACTCCATTTTTTGTTATAGTGATGCTGTGCCAGCTTTGGGATCATTAAGATCTTTTGAGGCCTGTAGAACAAATCGAATTACCACCTAAGGTAGAAGCACCTTCAGACCCCATCTTGTCAAATAATAAGATTTCTTTGTTTCTGTTTTTGTTCTTAATATAGTTTCCATACTTCCGTCCTGTAGGTATGTCTGTCTTTTCCCATTCTCCCACAATATGCCAGTATTAAGTCATCTAGAGGCTCCATTGGAAGGAGAACTTTTCTCTGTCTCATTTCTTCATGCCATTGAAAAGCATTGTATTTCTTAATTGGTCACCTCACTTGTCTCCAAGAAAAAAATCCATAGTATAGGGAAGGTTTGTGTTGTGGTGCAGGATATGTCTATATTCAGCTTGTTAAATACCTATAATTGATAGAGCTTGCATTTATGAAATAATTATGTATACCAGCAAGTGATGACCAATCATATTTGGAGCTGACAAAATTAGCCTCATAATAGAGGTTAAGTACCATTTCTCATTGTTGAAGATACAGTTGTCTTCTTTATCTTTCCTATAGTCTGTGATAACTATATTTCTTCTCTATTTCAGGCTGGCTAAAGTTCAAGAAAATACTATTGCTTCTTTAAGAAATGCTGCTAGCCATGTAAGTAGCCTCTCCTTCTTTAAACAACTTTGGACTAAGGTGGTTGGGTGATCCTCCTCTAGTCTACATTAAGAACTAGGAGGCATATTGATGCTTCTTCTGAACTTGTTTCCATTTCCTTTCTTTTTTTTATTATTTTGAGTTGGGGTCTCACTCTGTTGCCCAGGATGGAATGCAGTGGCATGCTCATGGCCACTGCAATCTCGATCTGCTGGGCTCTGGCATTCCTTCTGCCTCAGCCTTCCTAGTAGCTGGAACTACAGGTGCGTGCCACCATGCCCAGCTAGTTTATTTTTTATGTAACACTTAAAATTTTTTTTAATGTAATTTTTTTTCCTCTCACAGAAGCTGAAGGGGTATATTAACACTTTTTAAAAAGTATATCAGTGTCCATGCTTGCATATCAATTGATGATGTTAAATTTCTTAACTCCTTTCTTTTATCCAGTCTTAAAGGGTAGGAGTCTATTTAATTCCTAATATTTTCAGCAACTGCAACTTGGCGTTTTAAACCTGGGGTTTTCCCCTGCCACCACCCGCCCCAACCCCATCAGAGAACCTCATGTTTCAGACTGAAACTAGGGAGAAAATGGAGAAACTTTTAGTTATTTTATTTCCACTTTTTCCAGTGTCGTCCTTATGCTTTAAACTTGGCCTTTTCAAAAACAGTTCAGCTGATAAACTTAATTAGTCAGGTGTTTAGCTTTATCACTTATATGAACTAACATCTATTTCTAAGATGTGATTTTTAAATATTCTAACCTCTAAAATTGGAACGGATTTTACAATTTGAGTCATACAATTGGCAGCATTTTTTCCTCTCTTAAAGGTATATAAAATAATGATGAATTGTATAATTCATTACATCTTGAATTAATTTAGACATTAATTACTTTAATGTTTAAAAATATTAAATAGTAGATCAGATGCAGTGACTTGTGCCTGTAATCCCAACACATTGGAAGGCCGAGGTGGGAGGATGGCTTGACCCCAGGAGTTCAAGACCAGTCTGGGCAACATAGCAAGCTCTTGTCTCTACAAAATATTAGCCAGGCGTGGCGGTGCACACCTGCAGTCCTAGCTACTGGGAAGGCTGAAGCAGAAGTGGAAGGGTCATCTGAGCTCAGGGTTGAGGCTGCAGTGAGCCATGATTGTGTTACTGTACTGCAGCCTGGGCAACAAAGTGAGACTCCAACTAAAAAAAAAAAACCAAAAAAAACCCCAAAATATATTTAGGAGTGATTGCATTTGTTCTGATTGGTAGAACTAGTTTGTGGTATTATCTTGTTTAAAATAATAGAAGGTGCTAAGATTACTGTGTCAGAAGTCAGCAAGGAAGCAGGCTTCACAGCCAGACTCTTGAGCTTCTTTGGTTCTCACCTGTGATCCATGTGTATCCTCAAGCTGAACACCCTTCCATGATGTAGAGCCTGGGAAGGAATAGAAATGCATTTGTCCAGCCAGACTCGGTGGCTCAGCCTGTAATCCCATGCCTTGGGAGGCCGCGGTGGGTGAATTACCTGAGCCTGCGGGTTCGAGACCCACCTGGGCAACTTGGCGAAACCTCGTCTCTATAATAAATCAAAAAATTAGCCAGGTGTGGTAGTGCACACCTGTAGTTCCAGCTACTTGGAAGGCTGAGGCGGAAGGATCACGGGAGCCTAGTAGGTCAAGGCTGCGGTGACCAGGAGCATGCCACTGCACTCCAGTCTGGATGACGGAGTGAGATTCCAACTCAAAAAAAGAAAGAAATGCATTTGTCCGTTCTTGTACAGCATTTCTGGGTCATATTCACGTTACAGAATTCTCAGACCTTGTTTCCTTTAGTGTCAGCTGACTTTCTTATGTCAGTTTATGTTCCCAGTTAGTTTTAAATGGATTAATTAATAGGACAGAAGGGATATGTTTTTAACTATAATTTTTGTCTTCCTTACTCATCTGTTTAGGTTTCCATCAGTATATTTGACATGTGCATTATTTTTTTTCTTAAGTAATAGAATCTCTCACCAGAATGGAGTGCAGCGGTGTAATCATAGGTCGTTATAGCTTTGAACTCCTGAGCTCAAGGCATCTTCTTACCTCTTCCTACCTAGTAGCTGGGACTACAGTGCGAGCTATGTTGCCCAGCTAATATTATTTTATTTTATCTTTTGTAGAGTTGAAGTCTTGCTTTGTTGCTCAGGCTGGTTTTGTACTCCTGGCTTCTAATAATCCTCCCAAAAGGTGCTGGCATGAGCCTCTGTATTCAGCCGTGTGTACATTCTTATTGCCTGTTTTTGTTTTCTCTGTTAAGCAGCAGTGTAGCTTCCTCTTTAACACTGGCATTTTGCTGAAAGGCTGTAAGGTATCTGCTGCTTGGGTGCACCAAGGAGCAGGGCTAAGAGGCTCTGCCGCTCTTTCTTTACCTTACCTCATCTGTGAGGTTTCACTGTCTAGCTGAGGTATGCAGGGGCCACGGGCAGCCAGGCAAGGGATCCCTGAACTCCAGGTACTTGTTAGGTTCCATTTCTGCTCATCGCAGCAGCTACGGTGACATCTGTCAAGACTGTCTCACTGCTACCAAGGTGCCTGAGTGTTTTCAAGTGAATCAGTGCCCATTTTTTTTGTCAAGGAAGAATTACTGTGCTTTTGCAAAAGAGAAAAGTAATAATTTTAAGAGATTACTTTTTAGAAAAAGCTTCTAGTATTAAATAATTCATAAGAAAGTTTTATGTTTTTGTATACAAGTGTATAATTATATGATGAACAATAAATTTTTTTTTTTTTTTTTTGAGTCAGAGTCTCACTCTGTCGCCCAGCCTGGAGTGCAGTGGCACGCTGCTCACGGCCACCGCAGCCTTGACCTGCTGCGCTCAAGTGATCCTTCAGCCTCAGCCTTCCAAGTAGCTGGAAATGCAGTCTTGTGCTACCATGCCTGGCTAATTTTTTGATTTATTGTAGAGACGAGGTCTCGCCGTGTTACTCATGCAGGTCTCGAACCCCTGAGCTCAGGCAGTCATCTCGCTTCTGCCTCCCAAAGTGCTGGGATTATAGGTGTGAGCCACCATGCCCGGCTAATAAATTTTTTATATATTTGTAGTTTGAGATGTATTGTGTATCAGATAATGTTTTCCACATATTTTCTTTCTTTGTTTCTGTCAGGGTGCAGCCTTTGTAGAATTTGATGTGCATCTTTCAAAGGACTTTGTGCCTGTAGTGTATCATGATCTCACCTGTTGTCTGACTATGAAAAAGGTATGTTGAAATCATTTTAAATTCTTATTGTTAGGTACAAGGTTTAAAAACTAGTAAGTTTTGTTATATTTATAATTATTTGTTGAATAGAGTTGGTCACTTCATTTTCTTGGTGAGTTACAGCCAATCCTTTCCTTTCTTAAGCTCTTGAGAGGGCGAGGAGATTGAAATTTCCTAAAGTAGGGTCTCTGTATTGCCAAATGTGCATTTTAAAAAGTTACTAGAAAGGGACACTCCACGTAGTTCTACATGAGTCTGTTACTGTCATTACATAGTGTTTGTTTTCTAGGCTCCCATCTATTTCTGCCTCAAGCATTTTCTCAAATTAGTAGGCTAGTATGATTTGGCTGGTGTAGGAAGGGCCACAGGGAAAACTTGGTGGCTTGGAGTCAGATGGTGGAGGGCCTCAGGAATGGGGTTTAGACTTGGGAGGTAGGGAGGATGCAAAAGACTTTTCATTGAGAAAGGAAATGTTCAGAACTCAACTTCAAGACCAGTGTTTTGGTAGCTGATGTACTTGTGATTTCAGAGGACAGAGGCCAGAGGCAAGGGGAGCAGTAATGTAGGCTACAGGCAAGGTGAGCCTGGACTGGAGGAGGGACAGGAAGACTGGAGAGGAGGATGTGATGGAGGGAGTCTAGATTGAGATTTGAAAGTGCAGATAATTTTTTTTAGTTGTAATTGTTGTTCACACATAATTGTGATAATTATATAGTCTCTACATTTCAGTATACATATTAACTAGGTTATTTCTCTGGGTCTTAAACTTGGAGGATTCATTGGGCATTTTTAAAAGAACTCTGTTGGATATTATTTTAAACTGAGTTGATTTAAAATGAAAGCCAGTTTGCTAGCTAACACGTAGAACACTGTACCTGGCGCTGCTTGTCATACAGAAGAGTATGACAAGGCACCTGTCTCCACCTGCTAGTGGATTCTAATCAGTCCTGGGGTTGGACTACTGTGATGTATAGAAGAGGAGTCTTCCATTTCTGTGAAATGATATTAGGAGAGGACAGGAAGAGACACATCTATTCAGATGACAAACGTAGAATAACTACACAGAAGTTGAACAGGTTATTTTTGTTGTGGGAGAAAATTAATTAATGCACAATGAAATGAGGAATGAAGTAGTAAAGGATCTTATGAGCCAAGATTGAGATTAATGAATCTAGTTGCAAAGTGTTTTTTAAAATTAATGAGAGTTCATTAAGGAGTATTACAGATCCCCTGTTTTTGCCAGATTATCTTGCTCTAAAGTTGAACCTGAAGGTGTTAATTGGGGAATGATTGCACAGTGAGTTATATATAGTTTTGGGTTGAATTTTAATTTTTAAACTGGTATTTTTCTTATAAAAACAATTCATGTTTTTTTAGGAAAAAATGCAAGTAGTTCAGAAGTTATGAAATGAAAAATAAATCTTCCTTCCCTTTTTCTCCTTGGTCTCACTCCCATACTCTTAATAGTTTATTGTGCATCCTTCCAGAAAAGCTTTATGCAGTATACAGGTTCATGCCAATGTATATTAATACATAAATGAGTATGTGGTAGATTTTGGTGTATTTATTGAATTAATGATTTATTTCTTGTTGATACCTTTATTCATTTCCTTAAGATAGAGTTGCCTCCAACTATGTGGCATTTGATTATTTGATACAGCATTAAAATATAAAATAACAGATTTGCTTGTGGGAGAAATATAGTAGATCAGAGTTCTTGTTAAGTATTACTGCTTGTAGCTAATCAGACAATTTTTTCATGACATTTTCTTTTTATGACTGCTATTTTTTTTTAACCAAGCATAAATTTAAAAGGTTTAAAAAAGTTTAGAAATTTACTGACAGAAATTAATTCCTTTTTTGTTGTTGGAATCCCACTCTTGTCACCTGACTAGAGTGCAGTGGTATGCTCATAGCCACTGCAACCTCAACTTGCTGGGCTCAGGCTATCCTTCCACCTTAGCCTTCCAAGTAGCTGGAACTATAGGCATGTTTATTTGCTAATTTATTTATTTGTTTGTTTGTTTATTGATTGATTGTAGAGACGAGTTCTTACAAGTTGCCCAGGCTGGACTCAAACCTCTGGGCTCAGGCAATCCTCTCCCCTCCACCTCCCAAAATGCTGGGATTACAGGTGTGAGCCACTGTGCCCTTCACAATGAATCTTTTCTTTAATAAAGTTATCTTTCTTAGCTCAAAAAAAATAGTACTTTCATGTTGCTTCCTTAATTGTGTAGCATAGAAACATATCAAATAAAATACAGCATGGCAGGAAATAGGAGAAATGATTGTCTTCTGGCTCTGTCCTCTGATGTCTTCAGTGTCATAACTTTCTTCCAGCAGTTTTTTCCCCAGATACTCCCCACCTACAACAAAAACAGCCAGAGCATAGGGCTAGGAGGTGGTGTTAGGCAGGAAGGCCTCTCCTTTATGGGCTCCCTGTGGCCACCTGACAGTTACTGTCATCGTTCAATAAATTGAGATGTTAGGTCTGTCTAGTGTGAACATCCACTAATAATTTAGGGCCCATTTCTCTCGCCCTGTCTTTTATTCTTTTTTTTAGAAATTTGATGCTGATCCAGTTGAATTATTTGAAATTCCAGTAAAAGAACTAACATTTGACCAACTCCAATTGTTAAAGGTAATAATAGTAGCATAAAACGTAAATTATTCTTTAGACTACTTGTACTTGCCTGTTTATGGTGTTCTCTTTGCATATGGGAAGGAACGTCCATTTAATGTATTATAGTGTAAACTTTGGTTTCTGTTCTGTTTGGAAAGTGGATTTGTGCTGATGTAGCTAACCTCCCTAGCAGTTTCTATGAACCCCACAGATTTTTGTGTTCATGAAGGATTGCACTTGTCCATAAGTCTTTGTAGGCCATAGGGGCTAACCCTTCTCATCTATAATCTTGGTAGCTTGTGGTGTGCTCTTCATTTTATAACTGTCACTATTTTACAGTTTTACACGATAGTTGGTAAACATGTTAATTTCCAGGATTTTTATTTGTTGTACCAATATGATTTCTCTTCCCATACTTATTACATATCTAAATAAATGTTTTATTAACTATAAAATTTTTTTAACTTTAGAATTTTCATCTTCCCTACTTGAGTATTTGATCATGACTTTATATACTTATGCACATATAAAATATGCACAGTGTATGCACATATAAAATATGCACAGTGCTTAGTACTTACTATTATTAAACTGATAATTCTTCATTCTATTATCTTTTCTAATGTGCTAGTTTTTCAAGTTGTAGTTCTGTTGCCACCTCTTAAACTAAGTATTCTTGTCTCATTTCATTTTGCAATGTGTGTTCTAGCTCTCTCATGTGACTGCACTAAAATCTAAGGATCGAAAAGGTATGTACCAATATGGAAAACGGTTTTCATTTTGTAGCTAGCATTAGTAGGATTTCAGAAATCAGTTTCAGCATATTTTTGGTCATTTTAATGAAAATAAAATGTAATGTTATAGATCTGATGACCTTATATACATTAATTTTCAACTGAATATATATCATGTGTATAGTAACCATTTTATTACTTGTCTTAGCCTGATGATGAAAAGTTTTTAATAATTTCGTATGTATCAGTCTTTCCAAACATTTTTAACTTTTAAAAAGTGAAGAGTCCTTCAAGTATAGAACTTGGCTTTAGGGACAGTTTGAACCAGCTCTGTCGTTTGCCAGCTATGATTTAGGAAAAGATCTCAGTGATACAGTGGCATTTTATTTACTGCATTTTTAAAAAAAATTTCAGAATCTGTGGTCGAGGAAGAAAATTCCTTTTCTGAAAATCAGCCATTTCCTTCTCTTAAGATGGTAAGTTCCTTTAGAAACACCAGGATAAGGCTGTCTTGTTAATTTTGTTATGTCTGAATAACTTATTTTGGTTTCTTACATGGATGCTAAAAAGGCTGTGCCAAAGACAACATTAAGATAAGTTTATCATCACTGGTGCTTTTTAGAGAAGATGCATTCTTGTGTGGTGTGCCTGTGCTACTTTTTTTAAAGAGTTATGTATCTGCTCAAATGAATAAAAATTCCCAGTTCAATGGGTTAATTTGGTAAGAATAGAAAATTCATGTCTATCTTTGTATAAAAAGGAAGAAGAAGGCACAGGAAAGGGGTTGGATCGCGATATGGTGGGAGAGGCATTTTTACAATACAGTATGTCCCCTACATATGAACAAGTTCTGTTTCAAGAGCTGGTTGTAAGTCCACCAAAGTCAGCCTAGGTACCCAGCTAACACAAGTGGCTATATAATACTGTACTATAATAGGTTTAGAATACTTTTCAAGCAAATGATAAAACATTTTAATCTTATAGTACAGTATCTTGAAAAGTATAGTACCAACTACATTACTGCTGCTTTTATGCTTGCTTCCAGACGTCCTGGACTTGAAATAAAGATACTGTACTACTGTACTCTCTACAGTACTGTACATAAAAGCACAGCCGCTTGTAGAGGATGCATGCATGTGACAATGTACTCCAGACACATGAACTAGCTAACTTTGAAAGTTCACAATTTGAAGGTTTGTGTGTAGGGGCCTTACTGTATTTAAAACTGGAGAGAGATGAGATTTTCCAACCAAACAAAATAAGTGCTCTTGTTACTTAAAATGAGATGCGAATTTCAAAAATTCACTCTGAAAAAGTATAAGCATTAACTGGCATGAATATTTAAAAACTAGATACAGTGTATACAGCAGTCCCTTTGACAGTATTTGAAAGCCCACAGATGCCAGAGAAATGCTGAGTCTGCTTTCGTTCCACTGGCTTAACTTCCTAAATTCTGGTCTTTTATCATCATCTTTTTCTGATAATGTCAGGTACAGTAGATTTCTTAGATAAAAAATAGATAATTTTAGTTTATCATGATAAGGAAATGTATGCTTTGGGAAGGAAATTGCTAGCTTACTGAATTTTATCTAATATATTTTGCTAGTAACTAAAGCGTGTGTGTGTCTGTGTATGATTTAGGAAGGAAGGGAGTGACAGTAAATACTCTATAATCAAGATATTTTGTTAAAATATTTAGGTATGTATTACCTGAGGAGGAGTTCATAAAACAATCTAAATCATTAAAGAAAATCTCAGTGGTTAAAGGTAAATTAAGTATTGATTATTCACTCTGCAAAAAGTATGCTACAAGAGAGCCCTAAAATGGACATTGTCTTAGTGCATATAAAACATGATTTGTGTAATTTTTCAGATATATATGAAGTTCAGCTAAGTAAGATTATTCCTTCTAGTTTAAAACTCTAAAATCACTGGGTTCTTAGAAATCTTATGATTTCCAGATTTTTTGAATCCATAGGACAGAAAAATTTTTTTAATTGTAATTAAGATTTGACAACTTTTATTTAGTGAAATAAGTTATACACACACACTAACTCACTTTGTCATCATCACTTAATTACAAAAAAAGTTTTAACACCAAAAAATGCCAAATATAGGCCAGGCATTGTGGCTCATACCTGTAATCCCACCACTTTGGGAGACTGAGGTAAGAGGATTGCTTGAGCTCAGGAGATTGAGACCAGCCTGGACAACATAGCAAGACCTTGTCTCTACAAAAAATTCAAAAAACTTAGCTGGGCACAGTGGCGTCAACTTGTAGTCCCAGCTACTTGGGAAGTTGAGGTGGAAGGATCGCCTGAGTCTAGAAGCTTGAGGCTGCTGTGAGCTGTGACTGTGCCACTGCATTCCCCAGCCTGAGCAACAGAAGGAGACTCTGATTCCCATCCCCCCCAAAAAGCCAAAATATAACCTTAGTATATAGACAGTCTTTCCTGAAAATTTAATATTTAACAATCTCAGTACTAGATATACTGTCCTTATTTTTCTAATTTTGCATTAGTCCAGTAAAAACATGACTGCTGTGTTACATAAATAAGGTTTTAGATACAGGAGGAGAAAGCAGAAAAGGCCCACACAAAATTGAATCAGACCTTTATAGGCATACTTGCCATGCGGCTGGGCAGCATAGACTCAGCACTACATCTGAGGTTGCCAGTCTCACCAGCTGTGTTCTGGCCACTGTGCTACACTGTCTGTACACATTTTATTTGCTGTTATAAAATTAAATACCACATATATAGTACATGTTAAATGATATCCAAAGTTTTGGAGTAAAAGCATAATCTGTCATTCATTTTGCCCTTGAGCATGTTTGTGTATTTACCTGGCCTTCATGTTTGTTATAAGACTAAAGTCGGGCTGGGTGCGGTGGCTCATGACTATAATCCTAGCACTTTGGGAGGCCAAGGTGAGAAGATTGCCTGAACCCACAGGTTTAAGATCAACCTGGGCAATTTGATGAGCCCTCATCTCTACAGTTATATATATATATAAAAAAAAATTAGCCGGGCATGGTGGCACATGCCTGTAGTTCCAGCTACTTGGAAGGCTGAGGCAGAAGGATCACCTGAGCCCAGCAGGTTGAAGCTGCAGTGGTCATGAGCGTGCCACTGCACTCCAGCCTGGGAGAGAGTGAGACTCCAACTAAAAAAAAAAAGCAAAACTAAAGTCAGCTCTTTGTAGGTTAATGATAAGCTTCATATTTTTAATATAATTTTCTAGTTATGACTACCAAAATAATCCGATTGCAAAGTGTGTAGATAATTTAACTTAGATAAGTTGACAACATATTTGTTCATTTATATAGATTATAGCCTTACTGACTCATGAGCTTCCACATAGTCTTTCATTTAGGAATATATCTTTTCAGGGAGTTATCAGCATGGTATTTGTTAAGCAGTATCACCTTCAAAACAAGTTAAAAATCATGTTTTTTCCACATAATTATACCTTAGTAGAGTCAATTGGTATACTTGAGTGCAATTCAGATAACAACAAATGTCTAGAATTCACAATGACAACTCGCTCTGGGTGTTCAGTAGTAATAGTGAAAAGGATTTTAGGGTAAGGACCCATCTTTGTGGTGGTAGTAGTTAGTTACCACAGCTGTTGCCTTGAGACTACCACTTTTGCTTTTGGATTTCTTTTGACCTTCCTATTTAACATAATCATGAACCAGGTTGCCAGTTTGAGTATAAGGTAGTGGTTTATATGCACAGAATGTTTTATCCTTGTTAGTGATATATTCTTATTGATTATTTTTTGTAATGATTTTTTTCTTATTTTCTTATTTTACTGTCTATCTCACCAAAAACAAAACAAAATTCACCACCAACAAACAAAACTCTAGGTTTTAGAGTCTTTGCCGGAAGATGTAGGATTTAACATAGAAATAAAATGGATCTGCCAACAAAGGGTAAGTCTGTATGCTCCACGGTCTTTACTAGCTACCCCCATTCTTAAAAATTCTTTCATTTGTGTGTGTGTGTGTGTGTGTGTCTCAGTCATGGTCTCACTCTCAACCAGGCTAGAGTGCAGTGGCGTGATCATGGCTCACCACAGCCTTGACTGCCTGGGCTCACACCATCCTTCTGCCTCAGCCTCCTGAGTTACTGGGACTGCAGTCATGTGCCATCACACCTGGCTTAAGTTTCTAAAATTTTTTGTAGAGTCAAGGTCTTGCTTTGTTTCCTAGGCTGGTCTCAAACTCTAAGTTCAAGCAGTCCTCCCACCTTGGCGTCCCAGAGTGCTGGAATTGCAAGCATGAGCCACCGTGCCCAGATGCCTTTTGTGTTTTAATAGAATAAGTGAAATCTTATTGTAGCTTCCTCCATCAAGCACAGTGCTTGTTGGACCTTTTAAATATAGCTTATCTTAAACTTATATGAGAATACTTAAAATTAATCGTGAATATACTGTAGAAATGTTCACTTATTTTTGTCTCGTGTGCACATTAATATAATGGCTTTGGGGCATCCTTGGAAAATAAACAGACATACTCTTGCATTTAGTTTATACTTTCTTATCCACCATCTAAAAATAATTTTCTAAGCAATTTTCTGTTGAGTAACAGTAGCTAGTAGTAGTTTACCCAGGAAAAGAAATTTCTGCAGATGTGTTTTAAACCACTTCCAGATCTAGTCATTTGTTCAACAAATATTTTTTGAAAAGCTTCTATGGGCATGTTCAGTGTGGTGGGGACAAATCGTGAACAAAACAAGACGATTTTGCCCTCCTGGAACTTATATTTCAGTCGGGAAAAACAATGAGCTTACTGGGTTTTTTTTTTTTGGTTTTTTTTTTTTTCCGAGTTGGAGTCTCACTCTGTCACTCAGACTGGAGTGCAATGGCCGCTCCCGGCCACCGCAGCCTTGACCTGCTGGGCTCCGGCGATCCTTCCGTCTCAGCTTTCCAAGTAGCTGGAACTACAGGTGTCCACTACCACGCCCGGCTAATTTTTGATTTATTGTAGAGATGAGGTCTTGCCAAGTTGCCCAGGCGGGTCTCGAACCCACGGGCTCAGGCAATCCAGTCACCTCAGCCTCCCAAGGCGTGGGATTACAGGCTGAGCCACCGAGCCCGGCTGAGCTTACTGTTAACTACATCAGAGGAGGTGGAGTATGTGCAAGGGGATAGGATGACAGTAAGAAGACTGGGGTGAGGTGGGGTGGGGTGATGGGGTGTTAGGGACTGGAATTCGCTAATTCAGGTATCATGATGGGGGAATTGGAGCAATATCCTTGAGTTTGTTTTGGTCAGAAATACCCATAACTTCCCTCAGATCATGCTGTATTTGACGGGCTGGTCCTGGTTAGTGTAGCAAGTTCTCAACTGAGATTTTCCTAATATGTGATTTTTAGTTTTCTGAGCTAGAGTTATTTCAGTATGTAGTATTTAAAACATTTAATATTTGAACATCAATAGGGGTGACCTATTATCTTGGCTGTATTTATTGAGTTCTTTTAATTATAATTTGAGGGTACTTGATATGCCTAAAACCCAGAGAGCAAGATTTTTGACTCGTAATTTATAACTAGGCAGGCTTTTTTGGTAATGTGAAAGCAAATTAAATGTCCTGTGTTATCTTGGGCAAGTCACTTAATCATTTCAGATTTCCTCATTTATAAAATAATAGTTGGACTCAAATGTTTTTTCTATTACATCTTGCTAGAAGTAAAAATTTCTAGCACTGTGATTTTAGAAAGTACAATGGCTTTTATTTTCCTTTTTCTTTTATATAGGATGGAATGTGGGATGGTAACTTATCAACATATTTTGACATGAATCTGTTTTTGGACATAATTTTAAAAACTGTTTTAGAAAACTCTGGGAGGAGGAGAATAGTGTTTTCTTCATTTGATGCAGATATTTGCACAATGTAAGTGATACTCAGTTTTTTTCTCTTGCACTCTTAGAATATATCTAGAGCTTAAGCGACAACTGGTTGGAGGTGAGAAGCTGTCCAGATTTCACTCTAACTGTGCTCCTGGTGGTTGTGTGTTCTCATGCCTCTTTGTGATTACTTACTGGGTGCCCTATACTACCAGGAAATCCATACCTGCTCTATCCTAGAGCCTTGCCTTTTGTTCTTTTTTTTTTTTTTTTTGAGTTGGAGTCTCACTCTGTCGCCCAGACTGGAGTGCAGTGGCACGCTACCGGCCACCGCACCCTCGACTTACTGGACTCCGGTGATCCTTCCGCCTCAGCCTTCCAAGTAGCTGGAACTACAGGTGTGCGCTACCATGCCCGGCTAATTTTTTGATTTATTGTAGAGATGAGGTCTCGCCAAATTGCCCAGGCGGGTCTTGAACCCGCGGGCTCAGCCATTCCACTCACCTCAGCCTCCCAAAGCGCGGGATTACAGGCTGAACCACCGAGCCCGGCTCCTTTTATTTTATTTTATAGGCATGTCATAACCTCTTTAGCAGATTGTAAGCCCTCAAGGACTTTCTCATTGGCCATTTCTAATATTTTAGCTTCTGTATAGAGAATTTTAAATTTCTGTTTTTTGACCGAAAGGCAACACATGTTAATGGTGTTAATCAGAGTAGTGGGGTTATGCTTTTGTTTTCTTTATACTTATAGTATTTTCTAAAAATTTTAAACAGAATATTATAGTTATCTCCCCAATGAAAGGGCTTTTTAAAAATGTCTCTTTCAGGGTTCGGCAAAAGCAGAACAAATATCCCATATTATTTTTGACTCAAGGAAAATCTGATATTTATCCTGAACTCATGGATCTCAGATCACGGACAACCCCCATTGCAATGAGCTTTGCACAGTTTGAAAATCTACTGGTAAGTCATGTTTGAATTTTTATTTTTAAAATTATTCTTTTATGCTTTAGAGCAGTAGTAAATAAGGTTTTTGTTAATTTACATATCGCATAATTAAAGTTTTCACTAAAGTGCAACAAGCAAATAGCTCTACTTAAAAACCAAGATATTAGATATAGAATGAAAAGCAGTTAGATGAAGAGAAGTAAAGATTTTCTTGCAGGCCTACATTAAATTTTTTATGTTTGTGTGTGTGTGTGTGTGTGTATGCACACATTTAGTTTTATAATAGCTTTATCGTTTAGTTTTCTGAATGAATTTTATGAATCCTCTACAAATGGTTAGAACGTATACTTGTTCTGATAGAGCATGCCATTAATAAACATTGTTTGACCACATATTTAGTATATATGCTTATAAATTACATATATAACCAATGTATTGTGAATATATATGTGTGTGTGTGTATTTATTTATGTTATTCTTTCAAATGGTTATTTCCATTTAAAAGAATAATATTAAATTGTAAAAAAAAATTCTGCCTTTCCTTTTCCTTTGTATTCTGCTTTAGAGAGCACAGAGCTAGAGCATGAACATTTTGTGTTTGCAGTTACTATGTTACTTTTTCATGAACAACTAATTTCTTATTTTAGGGGATCAATGCACATACGGAAGACCTGCTCAGAAACCCATCCTATGTTCAAGAGGCAAAATCTAAAGGACTAGTCATATTTTGCTGGGGTGATGATACCAATGACCCTGAAAACAGAAGGAAATTGAAGGAATTTGGAGTCAATGGTCTAATTTATGATAGGTATTTGTTTTTCATGAAAAATTTTCATGGGATGTTAGAAAAAGTATAGTTTTCATGCTATAAAATTATAAATAAAGTTAAACTTAGATAAGTTTAAATTCTTTAGTTCAGCCTGAGGTTTATCTTGACATTTGTCAGTGGATTTATTCAAACATTGAAGTATAGCAGAATCACTTGGGAAGCTTATTAAAAATTCAGATGACTGGGCTCTAACTCAGATGTACTAAATCATCTTGGGGTGAGAGTGACTGCCCACCCCCAGACTTCCTTTCTGTCTGTATAAACTTTCTTGGTGCTTTCATCCAATTCTGTGGCTTTTCAAACCTTTATATATTCCTACATTTACTTATCTCCAACTCAGACCATTCTCCTGGTCTCTGTAAACCTTTATTTCCAGGTACCAATATCTGTTCTTCCTATATTCTTCCTGATTTCAGTATAAATGACAATTCCTTCAATCCAGTTTCTCAAGCTAAATTCTCAATCTTCCATGACTCTGTTCTTTATCTCATACCGTAAGCCCAGTCATATAGAAAATCTTTTTTACTGTTTCTTCAAAATATATCCTGAATCACTCTGTTCACCACGTTAACTATTGTCACTCTCAGCTAAACCACCTCAGCTCCGGTATGGATTGAAGTGGCCTGCTCTGGTATCTGCTTCCACCCTTACCGCCAAGCTGCCTATTCTCAGTACAATAGCTAGAAGGAGCCTTTTAAAGCTTTGTCAGATCACACTGCCACTTAAAACGCCCACAGTTTTCTGTGTTACCTAGAGGAAAAGCCAGAGTCCTTACAGGGGCCTATATGAGCAGACCCCCATCTCCTCCCTCACTGGTCTTCAACTGTCTTTCCCCCTACCTGTTCTTCCACAACTTTCCCTGTCTGCTATTTCCCATTCCTCAGGGGAAGACTTTCTATAAGGACTGAAATGTCAATAAAGGAATTTTTGGTTAGGGTGGGGTATGGCAGCTTATGCCTATAATCTCAGCACTTTGGAAGGCTGAGTTGGGACGGTGAAATCCATCTTTACAAAAAGTGTAAAAATTAGCTGGGTGTAATAGCATGTGCCTATAGCCCCAATTCCTCAGGAGGCCAAAGTGGGAGGATTGCTTGATCCCAAGAATTTGAGACTGCAGTGAACTATGATCAGGCCACTGCACTCCGGTCTGGATAACAGAGCAAGATCCTGTCTCAAAAAAGAAAGAGAAAAAAGAAATTTGAGGCTAGACGGGATATCATTTATTCTGCTGAGAGATTGACAGGCTTGCTCATCCAGGCATACCTTGGAGATATTGGGTCAGAGACCCAGACTACCACAGTAAAGCTAGTAACAAAATTTTTGACTTCCCAGTATGTAGGAAAGTTACATTTACACTAAACTATAGTTATTAAGTGTGTAATAGCATTATGTCTAAAAAAAAAAAACCCCATTGTAGATACTATAATTTTAAAATGTTACTAGACAGTGCTAGCAACCTGAGCCTTCAGCAAGTCGTAATCTTGTTGCTGGTGGAAGGTTTTGCCTTGATTTCTGAGATCTGGGATGCCTGTGGCCATTTCTTAAAATAAGACAGCAGTGAAGTTTGTTACACCAATTCTCTCTTCCTCTGACAAAAAATTTTCTCAGTAGAATGTGATGCTCTTTGATAGCTTTTTACCCACAGTAGAACTTCTTCCAAAATTAAAGTCAGTCCTTTCAAGACCTTGCTGCTGTGTTATCAACTAAGTTTAGAACAAAGTTCTAAATCCTTCGCTGCCATTTTCAACAGTATTCACAGCATCCTCACCAGGAGTAGATGCCATCTCAGAAACCATTTTCTTTGCTCATCTATAAGAAGCAACTCCCCATCCATTCAAGTTTTATCATGAGATTTCAGCAGTGCAGGCACATCTTCAAGCTCCACTTGTAGTTCTAGTTCTCTTGCTCTTTTGACCACATCTGCGATGATTTCTTTCAGTGAAGTCTTGAATCCATAAAAGTCATCCGTGAGGGTTGGAATCAACTTTGTTGATATTTTGACAACTCCTATAAATCCCTTTTTTTTTTTTTTTTTTTTTTTGAGTCAGGGTCTCACTCTGTCATCCAGGCTGGAGAACAAGGGGCAGGATCATGGCTTACCACAACCTCAACCTGCTGTGCTCAGGTGATCCTTCCACCTCTATCTTTCAAGTAGCTGGAACCACAGATGCACACTACTATGCCCAGCTAATTTTTAAAATTTATTGTAGAGTCAAGGTCTTGCCAAGTTGCCCAGGCTGTCTTGAACCCCTGGGCTTAGGCGATCCTCTTGCCTCTGCTTCCCAAAGGGCTGGAATTACAGGCATGAGCCACCATACCCAACCACGAATGTTCTTAATAGTATCTAGAATGGTGAATTCTTTCCAGAAGGTATCAATGTACTTTGCCCAGATCTATCAGAGGAATCACTGTCTGTGGGAACTATAGTCTTAGAAAATATATTTCTGGTATAATAAGACTTGAAAGTCGAAGTGACACTTAGATTCATGAACTGCAGAATGGATCTCGTGTTAGCAGGCATGAAAATGACATTAATCTCAATCAGAGTTCTTGTGTGACTAGGTGCATTGTCACTGGGCAGTAATATTTTGAAAGGAATCTTTTTTCTGAGCAGTATGATTTAGCTGTGGACTTAAAATATTCAGTAACATGCTGTAAACATGTGCTATCATCCAGTCTTTATTGTTTAGTAATAAAGCACAGGCAGAGTAGATTTAGCATAATTATTAAGGGCACTGGGATTTGTGGTATGGTGTAGGAGCAGCATTGGCTGCCACCAACTGCATTAACCCCTGCAAGAGTGTCAGCCTGTCCTTTGTATCTTTGAAATGAGGCTTTTATTTCTTCTCTCCAGCTATAAAAGTCCTAGATGGCATCTTCTTCCAGTAGAAGACTGTTTCTTCTACACTGCAAATCTCCTGTTATAGCAGAGCCAAGTTTATTTTATGATCTTAGCTAGATATTCTGGATAACTTGCTGCAACGTCTACAAAGAGCACTTGTTGCTTCACTTTGCACTTTTATATTGTGGAGACAGCTTCTTTCCTTAAACTTCATGAACTTATCTTTGCTAGCTTCCAGCTTTTCTTTGCAGCTTCCTCACCTTTCTTGGTCTTCATGTAATTAAAGAGTGGCACTTTGCTCTGGATTATGCTTTGACTTAAGGGAATGTTGTGGGTGGTTTGATTTTCTATCCAGATCACTAAAACTTTCTTCATTATCAGCAATAAGGCTGTTTTTGCTTTCTTAGCATTTGTGTGTTTACTGCAGTAGCACTCCTAATTTTCTTCAGGAACTTTTCTGGCTAGGCACAGTGACTCATGCCTGTAATCCCAGCACTTTAGAAGATCAAAGCAGAAGGTTTGCTTGAACCCAGAAGTTTGAGACCAGCCTGGGCAATATAGCAAGACCTCGTTTCTACAAAAAAATAGAAAAATTCTCTGGGTATGGTGGTAATTACTTGGGAGGCTGGGGCAGAAGAATCTCCTGACCCCAGGAAGTTGAGGCTGTGAGGAGCCATGATTCTGTCACTGCACTCCCGTCTGGGAGACAGAATGAAACTCTGACTCAAAGTAATAATAAAAATAATAATAATAAAGAAGTTTTCCTTTGTATTTACAACTTGGCTAACTGGTACAAGGTACCTAACTTTCCAGCCCATCTCAGTTTTTGATGTACCTTCCCTCATTAAACTTAATCATTTCTAGTTTTTGATTTAAAGAGAAATGTGTGAGTCTTCCTTTCCCTTGAACACTTGGAGGCCATTGTAAGCTTATTAATGGGCCTAATTTCAATGTTGTTGTGTCTCAGTAGACTAGGAAGGCCTGAGAAGAGCAATAAAGATTGGGGAACTGCCAGTCAGTAGAGCAGTCAGGACACATAGAGCATTTATCAACTAAGTTCACCATCTTATATGGGCATGATTTGTGTTAGCCCAAACAATTAGAATAGTAACATCAAAAATCACTGATGCCAAACCACCATAGCAGATACAATAATAGGAAGTTTGAAATATTGTGAGAATTACCAAAATGTGACACAGAGACGCAAAGTGAGCTGTTAGAAAAATGACACAGCTTGACTTGCTGGACGCAGGATTGCCATAAACCTTCAGTTTGTAAAATACACAGTATCTGCATTTTCACAGTAAGATGAAGTGGAATAAGAGGAGAAATGCTCATGCCTGAGCAGCGTCGTACAGAGAGTAAGTGATAAAATCCTCCCCCCAGTGGACTTCAAAGAATATTTCCTTGGATTAAGTTCATATTACTGTCTGTCCTATGAAGTGATATCAGTTTCTTAATAAAGGTTTTTTTCTCCATTTTGTCTCAATTAGTTTGGTTTTAAAATTGCAACCCAGTTAATTTCTGCCTGCCTACCTCTGCCTACCTTTTTAACTATTTGGTTAATTTTGCTATAACCATGAAACAACGTGACTGATAGCTCTTCCTAATAGACAATTCCAACTAATTTAATTCAAATTAAAGTTTTAAGTTTAAAGCAGGTATATGCTTTAGCAAATTTTTGAAGGCTATATTTGTGTATATCTTTTTTTTGTGCGAGGGAATGATTGCAAATGTTTACAGGCAAGAGAAACATGCAATTATTCTGTATACAGCTTCGTAGTGTCTACAGATTTTAGTCAGATCCTGTGTCTAGAGGACTTGGTTGGAGCCAAATGTTGACATATGATGATGAACAGGAAGATACAGGATGGAACAGGTATAAAGTAAGTTCTTTCTGGCTTGGAGCTATACAGAGGAAAGACTGAGTTGGAATCTGGGGGATGGTTAAATTTGCTTTGACAGGATTTGCATTTTAGGTAGAGGCAAGAGTGTGAATTAGGGCATGACTGTGCTGAAGGTGTGGAAGATTTTGAGGAGGTAGGGCACTGTATTCCTGTTAGTGTCTGGGATGTAAGGTGGATTGGGTTAGAGTTGGATTTTACCCTCAAAAGTTTGTTTTTTAGTAATTTAAATTAAAAAACGACATGTATATAGCTTAAAATTCAAATATTCGATAAGACTTGCAATAAAAAAAAGTCTTTGGTACCTGTTTCTTCCATTGTCCCTGGCCAAGTCTCTCTTCCCTAATTTGTTTATAACTGTTTCTTCTGGCATTTCCCTCTATAATTCTAAATAATCTGCTTATGCTGTTGTTGTTTTCTTTTTTTCATTATCAAATGTAGACATAGAAGGTGTTGAATGATTAGTGAATTGGAGCCTTTGAGACATTTTGGATTGGGAAGTGGTGTGATAGGTGTTCTAGATTATCAAAAACTATTCTCTTTCTCTACAAAGGCATCAGACACAGTAGATTTCACATCCAGTCACTGATGGTTTTGTGATTTAGTATCTCTTACATAAACTGCTACATTTGGTTTCAGTATTTGGTTTGGGAATTTTGCATTTTTTAAAATGTTACATTTATGATAATGAATTAGGTATCTTTTCAATTACCTTCCTTAAATGGTTGCTATCTAATTTTGATATTGGGAATAATACTGACTCAGTAAAATAAATTAGGCAATGTTCCCTATTTTTATAAAAAAATTACATCTATGGAACTGATTAAAAAAAGAAAACAGCTTAGCCACTCATTAGTTTTGAAGTCCCTGTGTGTCTCTACTAATCCCATTCCCATATCTCCTTCCTCAGTTTAACGGTCAAATTATTTTTTTAATGTTTTAATCTTATTTCTCTTCTTAAACAATATACAGTTTTGCATAGTTTTAAGTTTTGCTCATACTTTTTTTAAAAATTGCCATTATTTGTTTATTGTTGCATATAGCTATAAATTACTCATTTTCATGGCATTATAATATTCCATCATGTGTCTTGCCTACAGTTATATTTCTGTTTAAGATTTGGATTGTTGCTAAGTTTGTGCTATTATATAGTGTTACTATGAGCATTGTTGGCCAGATCTCCTGGAACACATGTATAAGGTTTCTCCAGAGCAGTGACTTTCAAACCTTTTTGATATCAACTCATTTTATGTCACAACTAGTACACAGATAGGTAATATCTGCAAATGTGTGTCTGAAATGAAATTTAAAAAAATAATAATAATACTCCTTGGATGTTTCCTGTTCATGTGTGTGTTTTGTCTAAATGCTACATTCTTAACTGATTTTAATTTTCTCAACTGATTGTGTGACCCACTGGGTTTCTAGCTTAGCACAGTCAGGCATCTGCCTGTGGGTCAGGCATTGGAAGTACAGCAGGCATATGGTCACCTGGGGTGGGCTTTTCATTGTTCCTAGTTCTATACTCACCGCAACCTGCTGCCAGTTCTCAGAAGTAGGGCAAAATGTTGTAATCCTGTCAAGTAGACTCTGGTTCAGACTCATGAGGGTACTCTGTCCTGAGGTTACTAAGCTGCAAGAATGACAGTGGCCCTCTTGTGGAGTGCTAGCCCTTAACATGCCTTTTCACTGGGACTGCTTCAGTATACATCGGTTGACTTCTATAGGCTCGGTGTCATGGCATTTACTGTGTTAGCTCTCCTGTTTTCCTGTATCCCATTTCTTTTTCTCTCTTGGTTCACTGTGATGTACAGACAGTCCTTCAGCATCGTTGTGAGAAAGGAGGACGTGGAAAGTAAATGTTTTTGAGGTCTTATTGTCTGGAAATGTAACTGGGTATAGAATTTGATGTTAAAAATAATTTTTCTTTTGAATTTTGAAGCATTTTTTTAATCATCTTTACTATTCCAGTGTTGCTCTTGAGTATGAAGCCATGTTGATGCCTGTTCCCCCACATGTAATCTCTGTTTCCTCTGAAAGTTTGGAGATTCTTTCTTACCTGTGTTTGTTCTAGAATTCTGGAGAGATGCATTTTGTAGGTCTGGTTTTACCCATTTTGCTGGACACTTGGTAGCCCTTTTAGTCTATCATTGTTTGTCCTTAAATGTGGGGGAAATTTTAAAAATGATTTCTTTGATATTTATCCCTTTCATTTTTCTGGATTTTTTATTTCTTTATAAAAGTCCTTTTGTTTGAATCAAGTAACTCTTGAACCAGACTTCTAATTCTGTTCTATTATTTTTTTTTTTTTTTTTTTTTTTGGTCTTCTTGCTTCACTTTAAAAGATTTCCTCAGTTTTTTAATCACTTCTTTGAATTTTTTATATCTGCAATTGTGTTTTTAATTTCCAAAGGACTTTTTTTTTTCTTTTAATGTCCTTTTTTTCTGTATATATATATCATCTCTTTTTGTATTTCCCTGAAATCTCTTTTTGTAGGATGTGTGTGGGGGGCCTTTTTATTGTTTTCTTTTCTATCTTCCACGTTAGAAGCTTTCCTCAGATGTTTGGAAATCCTCGGCTGCCTCCCATGATAAGGAATTGGGAGCTGCAAAACTTGTTGGAAGCCCTGAATGTGTGGATGAGGTTGTTGACTTGGACTGCACTATGTGGTGATCTGGGTGGCCTGTTTGGTCATACTTACGATGTCAGTAGATTAGAACTTTACTGTTTTGCTGACTAGATTCCTCATAGAAGAATGTATGTGTTTTACCTGCGGGGTCCAAGTCTGGCTGCCAGGGTTCTCGGAGTCAGTGAGGGAAGAGAGCTGGGAGACAGAAATGGGTTGCTGTATTGAGCATTTGATACATATACAAGGGAGGACCCCCAAAAATCCAGAATTTATTTATAAAAAATTGTGTATTTTTATGTTTAAACTTCAGTCACCTTCAAAGTACTCTTTGTTTGATACAATACACCTCTCGAGACGCTATTTCCACTGCTCAGAACAGTTTTGAACTCATCACTTTTGATGCCTTTTAGTGCTTTCTGCTGTTTTTTTGTTTTACTTCTTCCACATCAGCAAAATGTTTCCCTTTAAGGAATTTTTTCATCCTGGGAAATGACACAAAAAGTCACTCAGGGCGATATCAGGTGAACAGGGAAGGTGGGGCATGGGGGGTCCTACTTTTTTGGTCAAAAACTGCTGAACACTCAGCATATTGTGGGCAGGTACACTCATAAGTAACCCATCATAAAATGGGCACATGCATTGAAAGAATCTCCCAAAAAATTCACTGAAGCTGAACACAGCCTCTCACAACAATGCTAACTGATACACTGAAGCTGATGGGTTCCTAGAACATGTATAGTAGGGGAAGCCTGTACTACAAGGGTCCCGCCCTCCAAAAAGTAATTCTAGTTTCTTTTGTGTTCCCCTTTGTATATGATCTCTATATTGCCTCAATGCTGGTGGCAGTGACAGTGGTTTTGTAAAATGTTCAACTCTTCACCTGTCCTGTTATCTTTCATTTCAAGAGACATCCTGTTGTTCAAGTAAACCTGTGGTGGCCAGGCAGGGTGGGGGTTCAACCCCTTCAGGAAGGAAACAACATACTGCTTGACCTCCCTGTCTCAGCCCTTCTTCCTTTCACTCCCAGTTCAAGAGGAATTTGATGCTGCTTTTAACTTATCTTTTTTTTCTACTACTGGCTTGTGATTGTCTTTTCGGTTATGCTGACTGAAAAACTTAGTTATTCTTGTTCATCTGTTTTCCAGCTTTCAAAATTGTGTTGCCTTGTCTCTTGGATTTTTCTCATATTCATGGATTTGTTTTTTAATTCCATTATTTTATTTTTAATGGGATATAGGGAGAATGAAGTTAGATGCTTCTCTTCTATCTTGTACTTTGCCTATTTGATACATATACGAGGGGGGGATCCGAAAAACCCCAGCATTTTCCATTCTCTTATACATGTCTCTCTCTCTCTTTTTTTTTTGTTGGAGTCTCCCTTTGTCGCTCGGTCTGGAGTGCAGTGACGTGATCACGTCTCACCGTAACCTCGACCTCCTGGATTCAGGCGATCCTTCTGCCTCAGTCTCCGGAGTAGCTGTGACCACAGCCATGTGCTACCACACTGGCTGATTTTTTTTTCTTTTTTTTTTTTAAATTGAGAGATGAAGTATTACCTAACTCTGTTGCCTAGGCTAGTCTTGAACTCCTGGCCTCAGGGATCCTCCCACCTCAGTCTCCCAAAGTGCCAGGATTGCAGTTGTGAGCCTCCACACCCAACTTTAATTAACAGAAAGCCTTTGTTTTAGCATAGTTAGATGCTTAATAGACTCAATATGTTTTTTATCTGGTAATGTTTGACATAGTTGCCTGGCTGTCCCAGGGAGGCATGCGCTGTGCTGATGGGCACATGTTGCATCTGCCATTACTTCACAGCATTAGGGTAGTTCTTACACTGCTGAGCATTTTTCTTGATCTTTAGTTACTTGGAAGTTAGACTGGATATACATTCCAGCTCTTAATAGCTTTATATTTGTAAAAAAAATTGGTTGACATTGCTGGTTAATTGAGTTGGAAAGCAGATACTTTAATTAGTAAGCTATAGATTTCATTTTCTGATTCAACTGCTTTATGATGAACTCTACTGAATCAAGGATACAAAAGGGCAGTGCTTCTATTCTGGATAATTGGAAAGACTTAGGAGGATAGAAATGTTTAAAAAATAAAACAGATGCTTTTATTTTTAAAACAAAACAAAAAAAGCCTGGGTGTGGTGGATCACACCTATAATCCCAGAACTTTGGGATGCCAAAGCAGGAGGATTGCTTGAACCAGGAGTTTGAAACCAGCCTAGGCAACATAGCACGAGCCCTTATCTCTACCCAAAATAAATTACTCGGGCATGGCAGCATGCACCTGTAGTCACAGTACCTTGAGAAGATCACCCAAACCCAGGAGTTTGAGGCTGTTATGAGCTGTAATCTTGAGTTGAAGGCTGTGGTGAGCCATGATCTTGCCACTGCACTCACTGCAGCCTGGGTGACAGAGTGAGATTCTGACTCAAAAAAACAAAACAAAACAAAAAAAACACCTCTATAACATGGATGTTCCAGGCATTCTGTAGTGAATTCTCATGAAAAGGTTAAGTCAGGCCAGTCTTAAATAAACCATAAAATTACACTATTTTATCTGTTATTTGTTTCATCATAGGATATATGATTGGATGCCTGAACAGCCAAATATATTCCAAGTGGAGCAATTGGAACGCCTGAAACAAGAATTGCCAGAGCTTAAGAGCTGTTTGTGTCCCACAGTGAGCCGCTTTGCCCCCTCATCTTTGTGTGGCGGGGAGCCTGACGTCCACGTGGATGCCAACGGCATTGACAATGTGGAGAATGTGTAGTTTTTATTACACAGAGGCTGTTTTGGGGCATGCACCGCTGTTCTGGGTATTCATTTTTCATCATTGAGCATTGTTTATCTATGCCTTTTGGGCTTCTCAGTTCAATGAAGCAATAATGAAGCATTTTACTCTTTCACTACAGTTCTTGCAAGAATTTCAAGTATGCTATTTAAATCACTTGGCCAGGTATAATTACCAGTCAGTCAGTCTCTTTACAGTGAGAAAATTTATTGATTGGTAAATATTTTAAGCTAAATATGTAAATCTATAATGTTAAACAGATGTTCATTAAGAGCATGGCACTTTGAAATTAACTATATAAATAGCTTATATTTACACTTTTACCTTTTCATTTGATCAGGTCTTAAATCTTTAGCACTTGAGGAAAATGACTATGCATAATTATACCTGACCATGAAAAAAATAAGTACCTCAAATGCATGTATTTGCACTGGTGATTCCAACTGCACAATTCTTTGTGCCATCTGTGTATATAGGTATTTTTTACATGGGTTGACATGCACATGTACCGTTTTCATTCAGTATGCACCTTGAGGCTGCTGCCATTTTTCCACTTAACCAAACCAGCCTGGAGGTGAACCTTGAAACTTGTTTCATAAATCTTTCAAAGGTTGTTTTACATTAATGTTAAATTTTAGAATGTTGCAGGGTAATTTAATGAATAAAATGCTAAGAAGGAGTATGTATTGCATACTTAGAGTAGATCACAGCCTGTAAGTTCAATTCAGTGCATGCTTTAGGGTTTAAGCATGAGATTGTACATGTTTACTGTTAGTCCTTGCATCTGTGGTGCTAGGTGAGCGGGAAAGGTGTCAAGGACTGAAAATACTATGTTGCCTAAAAAAAAGCCTGTTTGTAGGCATCTTAAATATGCTTATTTTAAGTGTCTCTCACTACCTATTACCCACTGTTGCTTTGTGGTTCTGTTTTGTGTGTGTGTGTTGTACAGTAGTTAAATCTCCGTGCAGAAAAATAAATGTTCTGAATTCTCATGTTGGTATTCTTTATTGGTTAATGAATGTATATATCATGCATGTAATTTATTTAGAAATGTAGAAGAAATGTATATGCATGTTTTTAGGATTACATGAAGGTTTCTTTCATTAGAAGCAGATTGTTGACATAATTGTAACTTAAGAGTAAATGCTAAATAAAATGATACAGATTTATTTTCTTCACTATAAAATGAAATTTCAAGATGGTGTCACCTTTGTAGAATGGTTTTATAATACTATTACAAGAAATTGAAATGTAGTGTCTACCCCGAAGGGAGATTTACTTACATCTACCTTTTACTGCATGTTTTTCATGTGACAGTTTATTCCTGTATTGACATGTTTTAGTAGTAGCTGAGAACCCAAGACTTGAAATTACACATTGTCTTATTTTTAATTTTTTAAGCTAAGCAATGCAATTTTGGTCAGATCTGAGTTATATGAAGATAGGCTTCTAAATCCTATGGTATTATATTTGTAACACTGATAGTGATAGTTAATGGTAAATAGTTAGGAAATTGAGTCTTCTGCAAGGATTCTATATACTTTTTCACATTGAGATTTTCCAACATTTTGGTGTGAATTGGCCACTTTTATAAAACTCTTGAAAAGAATGCGTTCTCTTCATCTGCAGACTCCGTCCTCCAGCACAGTTGCCATTCTTCTTTGGGGACTTGATCAGCTGCAGGTGCACATTTCTAGCCCTGTTCTTCTGCTCCTCTCCAATGCCTTTCCAGTTCTGGCTCCATTTTGAAGGCTCAAAGGCAGAGGGGAAGCAGATCATAAAGGGAAAAAAGGGGGATGGGGACAGAAGAAAAGTTGAGGAAAGGGGTTGGGGGGAATATAGGCTTCCAAACAGTTTAATTTCCTGGGAAGAGCTCACAGTCACTGCTTCCCATAGAGGCCAAGCCTTACTGCTCCCTTTCTTTCCTGTCTCTTCCTGACCTTATAAACTGGTGTTCATAGGTGAATAGACAACAAGCAAGGGCTTTTCCTTTTTACAGGACTCAGCCCAGGCCTTCCTGTCACTAACTGCTGCCCTTCACCCTTCACCCTCTGCCCAGCCACACTGCACAAGTCGTGTGTCTATATACCTCCCTGCAGTGCCCACATCCTCCGCCTGGGGCTCTGTCCTCCCCACAGCCACTTTCTTTTTGGCAAGCTTATTCCTCTTGACCCATTCCTCTGCCCTGAGCCCTTGCTAAAACTCCTTCCGAAGGGAGGAATCCATGTTATGCTCCACAGGATCATGCTCGTGCCTGACCAGACCATACAGCGCAATCAAGTTGAGCAGGCATGGCTGGTGTGTGTCTCATATACCAGGCTGTGGGTGCCTCAAGGGCAGGGACCTTGTCAGTTTTATTTGCAAGGTCCATGGAACATAGTAGAAAATAAATGTTGGGATCATGTAATTTATATCAAATATCCTTTTAAATTAAGAGATTTAGTTCTGTTTACTAAGAATGTAACCTTTGCATTGGTTTACATTTTGACCATTAGGATGGTTTATTGCTGTCAATTTGAAATGTAGAGGTATAATGTTATTATTCTGCACTTTATGGAAATCAAGTGAAATGTTTGCTGAAAAGCCACTATTGTCCTCTGGTGTTTTTGCTCTCTGGAATTGTGTTCTGTAATGACGATGTCAACATGAGGGACACTGCTCACGCTTGTGTGGCTGGTGCCTGGGGGCCGCACAGCTCACCCCGCCACCCACTGACCTCACACCCATGCTCCTTGTGACACTTGTCTGTCTGCTCCCCTCCAAGCTCACACCTACCTCAGTACCACTTTCCCTATCTGAAATGCCTTTTCTGCCTTCCTTCAGGGTCCTGCTCAAGTGCCACCTCTCCATAAAACTCGCCTCAGCTTTTGATCTGAATCATGATGGAGACAAATGCAGACAGCTTCTTGCTCTCTCACTACTTCATTTTGCAGCTGGGCTCATAAACCCAGAGAGGCTGACTGACTTCCAGGCTGGGGATTCACGTCTGGGTTGTGTGCCTCTGAATCCCATGTTCTCAAGCTGCGCTGCCTTCCGAAGTCCATGACATTTGTTAGCTTGTGCTTCTTGTAGTCCAGCTTCTTATGTGCCTGTTATATTCTCTAGTAAGATTGTAAGCCCATTAAGGGCAGGGACTTTGCATTTCCAGCACAACTACAGTGTCTGATCCTTAGTTATGAACTAGATAAATAAATGGTGGTAGCACTAATCCTAGTTTCCTAACTCAGATTGTTTCATGATAAACATACAGTTTTGTTATGATCTGCTTGGCCATATTGTCTGGAGTGTGTGTGCATGTATGTTTCTGTTTACATGTGGAGTTCTCACTGCCTCATTGGCTCAGGATTACCTTCCCAGGCAGTGTACCTGAGTCATGCAACTGATGGACTGGTAGTGAAGGTACTGCCTTGGATGGTACTTGCATGACCTCGGGGCAGCCTGTTTGTTTCGTTCTGATGGGCAGTCATTGCCTTTCCACCTGGGCTCTTTCTGTACAGTTATCACTGGATTTTGACTTTCATATTATTACTGGTTTGATCCTCTAGATTGATACTGGAGTCCTGTTAATTTAGACTTGAGTACAATTGATTTACTCCTTTGCATTTTAGGTTTGGATCATGTACTTTTAGGGTAGAAAGCAAAGTGTTTGTATTAGAAATATTGCATTATTTTGGCATTCTTGATCAGGAATTTATCCACTTACAACTTCTGAGTGGGCTTATGCACTTTGAGAAGTAGATTTGAGATGTTTGAAAGGCAAGAACGCATATGATGACTAAACCAAGCAGGTGTGTGTTGGAGGTCAGAAGGAGACATCTTGGGTTGGGACAGTCAGAGGCTTCACTTAGCTTTCAAGACTGGGTAGAGGTCAGGGTAGTTAGTGAAACCAGTTTGGGTCACAGCCAGCTAAACTCAGAGGCCATGGTGAAATTAGTGATGTGTTCAGGGGAAATGAAGGAGCCCCATCTGACAATGGAGAAGATAAAATGAATGCCATTTAGAAGTTTAGCATCTGGGTAAGAGATAAAAGTGTTAATAATTTTTAGAAGGAAAATGACATAAAAGCAATTGTTTAAAAATAATGAAAGTTATATACTTTAGGAGTAATGAAAGGAGTACTGTGACTAACCTTTTAGTCCTCTACTAAATTTATCTAAACATGCCTCTACCGGTTTCCTCAGAAAACAGGAATGTAGGTGAGTGAACTTCTGAAACTTACTTGTAAAGCCAAACTGTTTAACAGGAAGAGGGCAATTTAACAATTAGGGGCATCCCATAGTTTTAAATATGTCTCTCTGGAGCCCAGATCTTGCCCCAAAGTTCCAAATTCATACATCTAGCTGTGTCATCATCTCCATGTGGAGGTCTAACAGGCATCTCACACTGAAGGGACTTCAGCAAAGCTCTTCCTTCCTGCTGTCTACCAAGTTCTCTCTCACCCCACTCCCTCCAGTGATATCAGTAAGGACACCCAAAATCTTTTTGCTGAATCCATATGATTAGTCTAGCTTCTTTTTTTTTTCCTTTGAGTCGGGGGTCTCACTCTGTCGCCCAGGCTGGAGTGCAGTGACACGATCACAGCCCACTGCAGTCTCTGACCTCTGGGCTCAGGCAACCCTCCCATCTTAGCCTCCCAAGTTGCTGGGACTACAGGCCCACACCACCACACCTGGCTAATTTTTTTTTTTTTGGTAGAGACAAGGTGTTGCTATGTTGCCCAGGCTAGTCTCGAACTCCCAGCCTCCAGCAATCCTTCCACCTCCACCACCCAAAGTGCTGGGATTACAGGTGTGAGCCATCGTGTCCGACTTGTATAGCTTTTATGACGTGATAGGGTTGTTGCCCAATTGTGGTTTTTTTCAATTTTTAAAAATTCTTCTAAATTTTCAATAACGAGAATCACTTTACCCAGTGTCAGAAAAGTTCTCTTGGGATTCTGATCAATGTTGAACTAATTTGCTGTGTTAAAAAATATAGCAGGGTAGGCCTGGCACAGCAGCTCGTGCCTGTACTTCTAGCACGTTGAGAGGTTAGGAGAGAAAATTCCTGAGCCCAGGATTTTGAGACCAGCTGAGCAACATAGCAAGACCCCTCTACAGAAATTTAAAATTTTTAAAAATTAGCTGTGTATGATGGTGCATGCCTGTGGTCCCAGCTACTCAGAAGGCTGAAGTGAGGAGATTGCTTGAGCCCAGGAATTCGAGGCTATAGTGAGCTATGATAGTGCTATTGCACTCCAGCCTGGGTGACAGAATGAGACCCCCCCCATCTCTTAAAAAAAAAATCCACTATGATTGTGTGTGTTTAGAGACAGAGTCTCCCAAGTTAGAGTGCACTGGCATAATCATGACTTGCTGTAACCTTAAACTCCTGGGCTCATGTGATCCTCTGGCTTTGGCCTCCCAAAGTGCTGTGACTACAGGTGTGTGTCATTGTGCCTGGCCTCTATTATTTATTTATTTATTTTTTTTTGAGTAGGAGTCTCACTCTGTCACACAGGCTGGAGTGCAGTGGCACGCTCGAGGCCACTGCAGCCTCAGTCTGCTGTGCTCAGGCAATCCTTCTGCCTCAGCCTTCTAAGTAGTTGGAACTACAGGCGCACGCCACCATGCCCAGCTAATTTTTTGGTTTATTGTAGAGATGAGGTCTCACCAAGTTTTCCGGGCTGGTCTCAAACCCCTCGGCTCAGGCAATCCTCTCACCTCCAACTTCCAAAGTGCTGTGATTACAGGCGTGAGCCACATCATCTGGCTTGGCCTCTACTTTTTAATTAAATTTATATTTCCTTGGAAAAATCATTCAGTGTTTTTAGATTTCAAGAAATGTGAGGCCGGGAATGGTGGCTCATGCCTGTAATCCCAACACTCTGGGAGGCTGAGGCCAGAGGACTACTTGAGCCCACGGGTTCAAGACCAGCCTGGGCAACACAGTGAGATTCCATCACTGCAAAAAAAAAAAAAAAAATACACATAAAATGTATTGTGCATAAAGCTATTGTGTTTTTTCGTCATTCTAATCTGTATGTATGTATGTGTGTGTATATATATATATATATATATATATATATATATATATATATATATAGTCTCCTTAGGTATGACCACTTTTCTAATTTTTTTTTCTTTGGGGTGAGGGTAGAATGCATTTTCCTTGATTAGAATGCCAAAGATCTGTATCTTTTTTTTTCTTTCTAAACTAGCTTTTAGTATAATTGTGTGATGTTTTTACTGTCTCTCATTGCTGCTCTTTAGTTTTTAAAATTTTAATTTGGATTTATTTTGTACTTTTTCTTACATCTTGAGTTGGATTTATTTTGCACTTTTTCTTACATCTACCTCAGTGTTAAAGACAATTCTGTAACAGTGGAATAATAGACCTTGACCTTGAAGAAATATTATTTAAATGGAAGTAGAATAATAATTTTTTTCTTTTTATTTTAAATTTATAGTAACAGGGTCTTGCTGTGTTACCCAGGCTGGTCTCAAACTCCTGGCCTCAAGAAATCCTCCTACTGTGGCTTCCCAAAATGCTGGGATTACAGGCATGAGCCATTGCACCCACCCAAGAACTTTTATTTTAAGAAAAATAAAATTTATACTTCTTAGACCTGGTGTTTCTGTAATAAGGGGATGTTTTTAAAAGTGCAAGATTGTAGCAGTTATCTAAAAGATGGATAGAAGTCACCAGACTACACTCCAGTATTCATTTAGTGATATAGGTCAGTCTACTCAGCCAAAATGGCTTTGCTTTGACCTAGTTTCTCCTACTAGAGATGTGGTTTGAAGATGAGATTTCATGGCTGAAAAATATTTGAGACGCCTTTTAGAAATCTTAAGTGGAGGTGGGGATGTGTTTCATTTTGGGTAACTTTCTCAGTATTGTCTTCCAATTTACTTATTTACTCTTGTATTGTATCTGGCATGCTTTGCTTATTGCATTTTAAATCAGGCTGTGTATCTCTTATCAGAAATACTTGAGGTCAGCAATGTTCAGATTTTTTTTGGATTTTGAAATGTTTGCATGATGTACTTACTGGTTGAGTATTCATAATCTGAAATTTTGAAATCCAGAACACTCCAGTGAGCATTTCCTGTGAGCATCATGTTGAGACTCAAAAAGTTTGAGTTTGGAGGATTTTGGATTTTGGGTCTTCAGCTTGGGGATATTCAACCTACATTGATTAAACCGTATTTTTCTATCCAAGCTTTCTAACTGATTCTTTTTCATTTTCATCTGATTTTATTACATTCCTTTCCATTTGTATCAAATAATTTGCAGTTCTTTAGAAAATGAAAGTATAACTTTCATTTATCTTTTTGAATACTCTCAAGCTCTTATCTTTTAGTCTTTTTCAGGTTCTTCCAAAGTGAACTCCTGATTATTGATTGTATTGACTTTTTTCCTTAGCATTCCATTTCCTCTTGTGTTTGGAATTTTGGTTGCAGGGGTTTTTGTTTCCTTCCTTCCTTCCTTAAACCTCTCTAGTGTCATGTGGCTGCCTCCTTTGGGAACTCCAAAACCTCAGTTTAAAACTGGCCATATAATTATATTTGTAGTTAATGCCCAGAAGGACACTGGGGACATTGTACTCCACCCCAGAGTCACCAAGTAGCTTTGTTTTGATTTCTGGTCCAAGAAGATTTTTACATTCCCTTTCAGTCATTTTTGTTTTATATTTTTCATTTGTCCATATTTCCTGTGTGTTTGGAGCAAAGATTTGTTTGTTTCTTGGCATGAACTCAGTGAACCATTATATGCTATTAAGAATCCCCACCATGTCAGGCTGCGATGTGGACTCCTCCTTCCCACAGAATACCAGAATGAAGCATGCAGTGTGTGTAGCAAAGGCTTGTGGTCCTCCAGCTGCCCAGCACCCAGCTCTTCCTCTGGTGGCAGCATTTCATCCTGGGGCATTCTTTCTTCCCAGATGGGTACAGTCTTTAGGGTCCTGTAAAACAAAGTGCCTCCTTTATCTCAGCCAGGGGCTGGGTATGTGAACAAAGTCAGACCAGCTGGACTCCGGACTCTCCTGGATCCTGCATGTTAAGCAGACAACCCAAGGCCACAGCAAGTGCTTAAACTTTCATAACAGGGTGACTTATGAGATTCATGCCATGACTCCCATTGAATCATATCGATTCCTGTTCTTTTTTTTTTTTTTTTTTTTTTGAGTTGGAGTCTCATTCGGTTACCCAGACTGCAGTGCAG